CTAACCCTAAACTTTCTTTTTGTTTGTACCAAACCATTAGGAAACATTGAAGAGAAAGTGGGAATGTGGGGGTTCAGCTTATTCCTCTACAAGTTCATATAAGATTTCACTTTTGGCCATACCAAAATTCCTCCACCTTTTATTTCTTCATTCTCTCATATTTGGACTAACAATTCCATCTTCCACAAAAGATACGAGAGTTTCAAACTCCAAAAGTGTGAAAAAGACATTCTTAGAGTGTGTAGCCATGGAAAATCAAATTTATCAAGATACAAACAAGACCATACATATAAACATTCTAAACATGGTAAATTCAGATATCTTAAAGGACACAAATTGGTACATGGACGTCTTCCTTTTTTCCCTCTTTTTTGAGTCTAAGAAAGGATGGGAGGATTCAAATCTTCAACCTTTAGAAAGTTGGTAAGTAATGTTTTGATTAATTGAACTATGTTCATGTCAGCGGTTATGAATTGTGTTTGTATAAATTAGAATAGTGGAGTTTAGATTTAAGTAGGTGGCTTTACATATCTTTTAGTTAAGATTTTGCTAACATTATTCTAAACATAGTAAATTTAGATATTCTCAAGGACACAATCTAATTCATGGGCATCTTTTTCTTTTTCAAGTTTAACAAAGGGCGGGAGGATTCAAATCTTGGATCTGTAGGGAGGTAAGTAATGTCTTGACCAATTGAATTATATTCATATCAGTCTTGTGCTTGTATGTCACAATTTAGGTTTAAGTACGTAGATTTATATATTTTTAGCTAATTAAGATTTTGCTAACATTAATTACAATTACATACATCTAGGTTTCTAAAACTCATCCCTCTTGACTTTTACAAAATCACATGAACCAACAAAACCAAGCAAATACACATAACCAAACTTCTAAAAAACTTATGCTTCTCTATTCTATCCAAAGACAAACTTAGACTTCTCAATATCAAGCTAACGTCGTTATTTGTAAAAGTCAAATAATACCCGATATATAAAAGATACATTTGATGAACTTAGATTTATAAACAAATTCACGTATTAAATATAGACGAATGACACAAATCCTAATCCATGAGCTAAACATTTCTTTATACTTGAGAAACAAAGCAAACAAATGAAAACAAAAAAGTGAGGTTGAGGATGGGCAACTGCTGCAGAAATGACAATAAGTCAGTATAATGTAGGTAGCAATAATTCATTTGGGTACCAACTGAAGCCAATAAGAACAACAGCTGAACTATAGACCAGAAATTTTTTTTTTCTTTTTTCTTTTTTTTTTTTTAAAAAANTTTTTAAAAAAATTGGGTATGACCCACAAAAACAATATAGCCAGTTGAAATATAAAGGTGAAAAGGGCAAAAGAGTAGGTGAAATTGAAACCCCAAATGTGTAATGTTTAATTTTATCCAACAATAAGATCCAAAGATGCCTTTTACAAGAAATTGGGTCCACTGTCTGTTGAAAAATATTGATTGCTGAATAATTGTGCAGCTGATTTCCTTGGGAGACTTTATGGTTAAATTTGAATATATCCCAAAGTTCAAAAAAAGAAATTAAAAAATAAAAAGTTTGGTTTATGTATAGAGAAGGGTATGAGAGAGGAGGGTGAATTGAGGGCAGTTGGAATTCAAATTGCAAAGCAAAATCCATGGGATAATGGGTGGAGGGAAGTTTTGTTTTTAAATTTGATTTGAATTGAATGAGTTTTTTTTTTCTTTTCTTTTTTTACCAATTCAATGCAAATTATGCAATGTTTAAATTCATTGGAGAGAGTAAAATATAGGATTGCAAAGTTTGTCCATTTGCTCAAATCCAAGAGTGAATGATATTAGATCAATACAACTCCTGTGAGATATTTGATGTGGGCAAAGTCCAACAAGCATTGGATAGAATTTAATGATTTTGGTTTTTATATCTATATATATTTTAAGGTTCCAACTTAAAAAAATAACAGGAATGGCATGTATTTTTAACTAAAAGGTCATAAGTTCGAATCAAATTATAGGTAAATAATTATTAAAAAAATCATTTTAATATATTCAGTGTATTACTCACTTGTCACAAAGCTTTTTTAAGGACATTTTTATCTAAAATTTCTTCCAAATTGAGTATTCTTAGCTTTGAAATTCCGACTAAATCGGTCAACAAAAATAAAAATGTAGTTTACACCTTTCATTTGATCATTAATAAAATTTCCTTTGTTTTTATTTGTTATGGCCCAAGCTCAAGATTTAGAGTTCGAGTCTTCCATCAAAATAGGAATTGATCCAAAGCCTCTCACCAATTTTTCTAATAAGGCATGTTTATTGTTTGATAAAATAAATATTAAGAAAAGAACTACCATATTAACTTAGTTCAAATTAACTTAACATGAAACCTATTACTTCAAAAGCGGGAAGAATTCGTTTCATACAGGATTGGAGAGAGACAAAACTTGACATTTTCAATTGAGATGTATGGATCCATGGACTTATGTATCTATATAGATCTTGTTCATGAATTAAGGAAATGTTTCTACAACTTTTTTTTTTTTGTTTGTCCAATACTCAAAAGATTTGACCCATATAACCAAATTTGAGTAAAAATATTAAATTTTATTTAAAATATCTCAATTTTTATCGTAAATTTTCAATTTCATTAAATTGCAGTAATACTTAATTTAAATTTAAAAACTGTTACTAATTTAAGTCTCTATACTTTCAAAAATTTTTGACATAACAAATGGATATGTGTTTTCGAATGGATTACAATTTAGTCATAAAGATAAACAAAACTTAACTATCAAAAAAAACATTACAAACTTTAAATTATATAAACTAAAACTTAACTATCAAAAAAAACATTACAAACTAATTACAAACTTTAAATTATACAAACTAAAACTTAACTATAAAAAAAACATTACAAACTAATTACAAACTTTAAATTATACAAACTAAAACTTAACTATCAAAAAAACATGACAAACTAATTACAAACTTTAAATTATATAAACTAGAAACGTTAGCAACGAATTACCCACTAAAATTAAGCAACAAAATCATTAGCAATTTAAAAACATCATGACTAAAGTAATCCAATTATTGGACCAACGTTCAAATTTCTTCTACTCCAAGAAGAAATTGGGGAATTGTGGTGGGGGGGAAAAGTATAAGTAGAAAGGGATTAAATGGTAAAATTTGAGAAGCCCCACCGTGAGGGGGAGGGCTTTCCAAAAATTGACGGGCAAGCCCCCACCTAAAGTAGGGTGGGCGCTCGCTCGCCTCATGTACCGTGTGTTCGTACTGGTAGGTGTCGGCACGACCAGCCGTCTCTATGCGATCATTGACCAGTCGCCTCTCACCCCCTGACAGGTCGGGTTAATTTCCCTATCCCTCCCCCAGTACTCCTATTTATAGCTCCCCGCTCTCCTCCCAATCTTCAGAACTTCCGATGTGGGACTGGGATTC